CAATCGAAACCAACGAATGGTCGACCCTCTAATCCGCATAACCATATCTAAAACCATCACCAGCATTGATTGTTCCCCGGTAAACGAGGAGGATTGACTGACAAGCTCCATTCATCAAAAACCTTGTACATGGACCTACATGTTTGTCTTACCATGTCAAGCACCGAAACCTGAGGAACAAGTAAAGGCAGCATGTTCACGCATGGTGAATCACGAAGAGTGAGCGCAGCCTCAGTGGCCTCCACCTGTGAAACAGGATGGATCACATCCTGCAACCCGAGATCGATGGGGACCTAATTGCCATTGGCGTCTTGCTCAAGGAGTAACCCCTCATCGAAGTCAATCCCAGCCTCGATCAAGAGGTTGTGGATGATGCAGACGGTGGCGAACTGCTGGGGGAGGTTGTCCATGTTCGTATTGTGATAACGAAGAAACAACCTCCTTATCCCTTTGAGTCGTCCGAACGCCCTCTCCACCACTCCCCTTATCGTTTTCTGCCTTGTGTCGAACACAGCGACCTCCCCGGTCTGGTCGAAGCCACCGTACGTTACGACTATCCACGTGCGGCGAGCATATCCGTTGTCCCCAAGCAGGTAGTCGTCGTCACATCCCTAGGCAGAAATGCAACATTGACATTGAAGAGTTCGCCTGCTTCTGCACGTCTGAAGAGGGACGAGTTCCGCAAAACTCGTTGGTCATGAACGCTGCCTGGATAGCTCACGAACACGTCCAGGACACGCATGTCAAGGTTGACGACAACTTGCGCCACGACAAAAAACTATTGTTTCCGGTCGAAGTAGTTCTCGGAAGGCGCATGGGCAAGCTTGTCGACATAGACGTGTGTGCAACCAATTGCGCCGTGGCAGTTCGAAAAGCCTGTCGAGGCGAAAACGCGCCGAACTTGGAGAAGACGACGACCTGTGGGCATGACAATCTTGTCTGGGTAGGCGGCGCGGATGGCGTTGGTCACATCACGGACTGCGGTAATGCCTGATGAACGCCCTATCCTGAATGAGGATGTGTTGTTCTCGAACGTCTCCCCCGATGCCCATCTATACAACGAGTATGCTACGATGTGGTCCGGCTGCAGGGGCTCGCAGTAGAAGGTCAGTCTTCGCTAAAGGTAAGGAGCGCACGCCACGACAATGTGGTTGAACACCGCCCTCGTCATACGTAACTTGTCGTGGAAGTACTCGTCTGTTGCATCATCCGAGATCGTGAGGTCCCTCCAAGTCTCACCGGTCCTTCGTTTCACCCACCACCGCAGAGTCTCCCTGGGAACCACACCTGCAACGATTACGTTCGTCAAAAGGAATGGTGCGTCCCAAACACCCGGGGAGGATTGCACGTTTATCATCGCTTGGGCAATGGCCGCCTCCCTTCTCCCTTTCTTCCGACCCATGCCACACCGGATGCTGTTCACCGCCTGGAAATGTCGGCATATCGCCAGCAAAGCCGTCGCCAAGAGCGACCTCTCCGCGGCTGTCAGCGTCACCACGCCCGCACCTTCCCCTTCCAACGCTTCCATCTCCATTCCTCGACCGCCCGAGCGAAGGCTTGACAACAACCGAGCGACCCGAAGCGCGACGACGAAAGTTCTGGCGATGGTGATCCTGCGAAGGCGGCGGCGGCAAGCCTCTCTACCACAACCGCGACTCTGAAATCAGCGGGGCACAGGCAAACAGTGGGAACACAGCGTGTGGGTAGATGGCGGAGGGACCTCCTACAAGTTTGAAATTCGAATTTGAAAAACAACACACTCACTTTGTTCTCCGCAGGGGGATTCCGGGTCGGCTTTCGAAGGGGTCCCACCGGCCGCATTCGAATACAACACGGCCTGCAATCCTAAACCACTGTACCGGGCGGACGAATACATGTCCGCTGGTGACTACTGCTCGCACATCCGAGCGGCGTCCCACGAGTCTGTCAGACACCACGTAGGCACTTCAGTTTCAAGGGCGGCCATCTCAAGTATTTTTCAAGGGCATTGTGGAACGAGAAAAGCAGTTAGGGGAAATTAATCCAAAGTTCCGTCTTAGGGCGCCCTTGAAACTCAAGTATTTTCGAGTGGTGTTTAACGAGGCCCTACATAGAGGTGTATCCGTGCGAGACGGGTAAAGCCTCGAAATAGCGACCTACATCGATCGATTCCTAAATACCCATCTAGATACAGAACAAATCTTAGTCGATAATGGGCCGGAGTTTAAGGTTGAAGTAGAGGAATTGATGACATGTAGAGTCCTCACCCTCCGACACACTGCTCCGCATGTCTCCCAGTCCAATGGACTCACGAAAAATGTGAACCTCGTGATTAAAACTGCCCTATGCTGGAATCTAGCGGCTATGACATGCGTCCCTAACCGAGATAGTGTACCAAATAATTTGAAGTCACCGGGCCACGCCTCATGAATCCACTAGATTCACCCCCTTCCAGCTATGGACCAACAGTACTCCCTGCGTCGTCAGCCTAGATATCTCGAAAAATACCAAGTCACGAGGAAAGGACATGCGGGAGTCTTTTAAGTGTAAAGCCAAAAGATACGCCGAATTAATGGAAAAGGCAGCCCCTAGATTGGCCTGTAAAAGACAAAGGATGACCAAATTGGCCCACGGTAGACAGGTCCGCAGTTACGAGGTCTGAAACGGGAATGCGGATCCTCAAATCGGGGACCTAGTACAGCTACGTAAATGTGCATGCGACTGAAAACTCGCTCCCAAGTTTGGAACTTGGTCCTAACGGGGCAGATATGATGCACATCGCTTCGAAAACGGACGCCAGCCATAAGTCTCTTCCTATCGTCCACCATATCTCTTATCTTCGTTATTTTCCCTCACCTGATCCTCTCGCTTCCTCTTCCTCGTGTCTCTCTACTCGAGACAGAGATCTTGCTCTTCCTTCCTCTTCCTTAGCTAATACCCTCTGCTCATAGCCACCGCCATGAGCTTCGCACTTGAACCGTCCATCTTTGCTCAACTTCTTCAACCTTGACCGTCCTTGTAGTTTCGCCAAGTGGTTCATCCGTGACTCATACCCCATCTACAAAGATTCGTGAAGTTATTCAGTCGGCAAGCTAGGCATGCAGCAGTGGAAGTGGCGATCTCGACGGATCGTGGTTCGACGGTGATCCTGGTGAAAGCATCGACGTTTTTGCGGTTTTTTTTGCCAGGGCAAAGTGACGTGACAGTGAATGTCATGTTCAACGGTGATCTGTGCAACATCGACACCCAGCGGCACAACGACGTGATAGGAAGCCTTTACGGGTGGGAACGTGAACTGGTGACAGATTGGCGGCAGCGACTGGCCAGGTGAGGTGATCAGGTGGTGGGTACGGGGTCTATCGACACTTTCTTGCTGCGATTGAGTACATCGGATCCGTCGACCCCACTACTTCTTTCTCTTCGTCCTTTCCACCCTCCTCCCAATGAATCGCCTTTCTACCTTCTATCTCCACTTTAATCTTCCAACTCTTTGACCATCTTTGGCTGACCCTCTACTCTCTCTTGAAATTCGTCAAATAGTCATCCCTCCCTTTCGTCCTTGATATATTCGTGATTGGGTTGGATTCGTGGCCACTAGCTTCTGTCTGCTTCAGTGAAGGTGCATTATGCGCGCTATTACGAAAATCGGGAGGTGGTATTCCGATACGAGATTACTCTGCTTCTAGCCCCCAAAGTGTGGCCGTCAGATACAACTGAACTTCTGGTGGGACTCCTCTTTGGTGAGGTGGCACTGCGAGGAAGAGTGACCATTGCCAACGAAATCCTTGTCTTCTTGGCGAAGATCATCGACGATCTGCCTTTGCGCATAATCTCCTTTAGTCCTAGTAATCCGAACCAGATGGAGCCAGTGAACTTGGAGAGGACGCTGACACCGGCGATCACTTGGAGTAGGTGAATGGAGAACGTTGGACACTTTTTGGCCCAGCACGACCCAGCCGAGTGAAACTTTATGGACTACAAGTGGACCCGCCGCAGCCACGCTGCGGCAGAGAAGAGGGACGAACAGGGGGACGGGGTTGTTGTTGTCACACTGGAGGGTTTTTTTACAAATTTTGTTTTTTCGGGTGGGAGGCGCCGCGGCGGTGCTTTTGTTTTTTGTGGGGGAACGGCAGAGATAGAAAGAGCATGCAGGAAGGAAAGGGACAAAATAGCACGGGAAAGAGGTCAGTTGGAACTTGGACTTCAGCTTTCCAAGGTGTTGGCAGTTGTAGTTTTTTCCATCTCATCCACAAAAAAAAAAAAAAAAAAAAAAAAAATGACAGATGCAGATGTGCGGGTGCGAGGAGAGGGAGCGGAAGGTGAGGAGGAGAAAAAAATAGCGAGTCAGAGGTCGGTATGCACAAACATGAACAGGGTGTTTTTGTTTTCGGGGCGGTGATGGCAGAGAGAAACAACATGCATCAAGGACTGCGAGAGAAGAGTATGCAAAAGTGCATAGTTGCAAGTCGGATCCGAGGTTTGCAATGTTCTGGTAGTTGTTTCTGTGTCTGCTGAGGTCGGCATGAAATAACATGCACGAAGGACAGTGACAAAAGAGCAAGCAAAAGTGCTAAGCTGCAAGTTGGATCTGAGGGTTGTAATGTTGTAGCACTTGGAGTTTTCCTCAAAAAGAAAAAAAAAAAAAAGAAAAAGAGAAAAGGACATATATAGACATGTGGCCGAGAAAATGACACACGCAGATGTGTGGTTGTGGCCCAGAGACTGCTTGCTGCCTGCACCCGCTTTGTTCTGCAGGCATTGCAAGCCATCCACGTCGTAATAGATGATGCAAGTGTAGTATTCGTCATTGTCGGGGCTGCGACTGTTGAGAAGATGTTGTATGTTGTCTTTGTCCGGATTTCCCTGCAGCCATTGTTGTGTGTCCATCCACTCATCGCTGTTGGTGTTTGTAGTTGTTGTGGAATGTCGAGATCGAAGTCGGCAGCTGAGGTCTAAGAGATGCTGGCTTTCTTTGTTCACCGTCCGCTTAGTCGTGCCGCATGTTAGTCGGTGCGATGGATGTTGTGTGCCGGTTTTGCAAGTCGATTGTAGAAGGGTCAGCGGGATGGGGAAGGATTTTGGGCACGGAGGTAGGTAGCGGCATGTTGAACGATGTATGCTCTAAAGGCAGGGAAGGGCGGGAGTGGTCGTTGGCCATCGAGGTGATGAAGAAGAATGAGGTCATTTAGGTAATCCCATGTGCGCGGAGGCTGGGGAATGTTGTAGATAGCGAGTGTGTGATGGGAGGCGAGGATGTCATGAATGACAGTTGTTGCATGTGTAGCACCCCAAGGTCTGAGTGGGAGCCTCCAGTTCGGGTCCGGGTGGGAGATATTGTGAGGAGGGAGGGCTGGTTGCTGGGGTGGCGGTGCAGAGCGAATGAAGGAATGCTTATAATGGGCGGTGGCAATACACTCGTATTGATACTGGGCGCGCGGTGTACGGGGGGAACGTGTTCGGCCGTAGTCATCATTGACCAGTTTCAGCAAGAAAGTTCTTGTATGTGCGTAGTTCGCGTTTGGATCGGGTGATGGATGTGGACGGTGAAGAGAAAGAAAGCGGTTGTTTTTGTAAATGGTGAAGAAGTCATAGAGATGAGGTGAGAAGGCAGCGTGGTCAATGACGAGAAAGTCTTCCCATAGAATCTGTTCAATTATGTTTTCAATGTTGTCTTTCGTAATGAGAGTCAGCCAGCAGTCCCATCTAATGGGTCGGGGGGTCGGGGTGGTGGGAGAAGTCGTTTGTGACGATGTTGTTGATGTTGTGACAGAGGCAGATGCAGCAATGAAAGTCAAAGCGGTGGGCGTCGTTGTTGCTAAAACTTGCAGTTCGGCAGCGGCATTCGACGGTGAGGTTTGTTGATAGGTTATGGGTGTGGATTCGGTCATTTGCGATGAGGTGGTTTGGCTGAGCGCGATGTCATCGAGTGCAGAATGTGAGGGAGTAGACGGCAATACGGTGACAAAAGTACATGCAGCAATGGAACTTGAAGCGGATGCCATCAATGCAGTGACAAAAGTAGAGGTTGCAAGAGGTAATGTTGACAGGGGAAGTGAAATCGAGGACGTCGGCAATGCAGTGACAGAAGTACATGCAGCAATGGAACTTGAAGCGGATGTTGCCAACGCTGCGACAGAAGCAGCTGCAGGAATGGAACTTGAAGTGGTGGCTGTTGTTGTAGTTGACATTTGGACTTCCGTAGTGAGATTTGATGCGGAGGTTTTCACCTTTTTTCCAGCTGACGCATTTTCTTGAGAATCTGCAGAAAAGGAACGGATGCGAAAGGAGAGTCAGAAATCATGGGAGGATTTAATTGTTTGTTTCAATAAGTGCGAGGAGGATATGTGTCAAGATAGTCATGCGAGGATCTCCCTGTATACAATGTTTTGTCTAGGTATTGGTTGTAGGCAAAGCAAAACGAATGTGAGCAGTGTCGTCGACTCTCGACGCAACAACGTAAAGCTGACCATGTGCAAAGGGTGGTTGACGAAGATCTATGCTTGCGTGTTTGATAGACTGACCTTGGGATTTGTTTATTGTAATAGCGAACGCGGGGCGAACAGGAAACTGTCGTCTTTGCCATGGGAAAGGGCTAGTTTGGTCTGTGACAGTCAGGAGGATTCGGGGTAGAAGTATTTGTTCCAATGAAGGGAGCACGCGTCCGCAGAGTAATCTGTTGTTGGTGATGGAGTCGACGATTATACGTGTTTCGTTGCAAAGAGTGTTTCGCATAGTAATGTTTCGTAGGAGTATGACCGGCGCACCTTGTTTAATTTGAAGCCGGTGTGGCGGCAGGGATGGTATGTCGATGGCATTTAATGCATCAGTAGGGACGTCTGGGTAGTTGTCATTAGGGAGGAGGGAGTCTGCGCTAAGCGATGTCACGAGAGGGTCGGGAAATTTAGAGAGGATTATTGAGTTGAGCGCTGACACCGTTTTGTTTCTGGGTACAAGGATGAGACGGTCGGCAAACCAGAGGGAGTTTTGAGAGTTTGTTTGGAGATGTGGAAATGTCCAATTGATAAGGTCTTGGGTATTATCACGTAGAGATAAGTGAGGAGGAAGTTCGATAGTTGTTGGGCTATTGTCATAGATTGGGGGTATATTGCCATTTCCGAGCGCAAGGAGCCATTGGTTTAGGACGCGCATGTTCTCTGTGAGATGCATAGTGTGAAAGCAGGGCCATAAAGTAGATGATTTGATACATGCATCTGTTGTTTGGGCACGTGTGCCCTTCGCAACGACCGGAAGGATTTGTCGGAAATCTCCTGCGAGGACAACAATCTTTCCGCCGAAGATCGAGGGTGATGAGCAGATGTCTTGAAGGGTTCGATCAAGCGCTTCGATGTGGTATTTGTGTATCATGGGGGCCTCGTCCCAAAGGATAACACTTGTCATTCGTATAAGATCAGCAAGTGCGGATTGTTTAGAAATGTCAAGGGTGGAAGTCGCAGTAAGAGTGAGAGGTGCTTTCAAGCGGGAGTGGAATGTTCTACCGCCGTGAAGGAGAGTTGCGGCGATTCCACTGAATGCGACGGCAAGTGCGACACGGTCGTTATTTCTGATCTGTGCCAGAATTGTATTGAAGCAAAAGGTTTTTCCAGTGCCGACGGGCGCGTCAATAAACAGGCAGAGTGATTCGTTTGTTTCAACAGCGTGCATAACTCGGTTGAGAATGACACGTTGCGATGTGCGCAAAAGGGGCAAATTTTTGTCCAAGGTTGATCTAAGGGCAATTTTGTCGTAGCAGATTTCGTCCTCAATAATTTGAGGAACATTTGGTCGGCGTGGTCGATCAGCCAAGGCCGCGGCGGCGTTTTCGTCGTCAGGGGCGGGACGCGGCAAACTAACATCTTCTAGTTGTTTACCTTCTTTTTGAAGGCGGTTGTCAAGGTCAAGAAGAAGCATGGTTCGAATGAGTGGAAGGGGCACATCCACAGCACGAAGTTCTCTTTGAAAATCGTCTATCATGTGTTCCTAGTGTGTCTCTAGGAGCTGAACGGGATCAGCCGGTCTACAATGTAGAATAATATGAACAAAAAGATCGCGAACCATTGTGGAAGAGGCGGTGAATATTGCATCTTGTAGGACTGCATCAAATTGGGTGTTGTCGTTAAGTAAACCCAGGGCAATACACGTGGCTTGAAATGAAGGATACGTCTGATCACCAATAGCACGAAGTTGTGAAAATGATGTTGCACCTCGTGAGTGTGGAGAGAGAAGGAGCATGCGCAAGTAGAATGCGTCGCCCGTGTTAGGATGAATTGTGTGGATGCATCCGATTGTGTTAGTGAATCGACGGCGGAGAATCTATTCTTTTTTTGTTTTATCGAAACGAAAACGTTGCAGCATGTCTTTATATAACGGTTTTGTATCGTGAGCGTCACGAAGATGCACGGGATTCCATTTGAACCATGCAATCAGTTCAGTTTCCGGGGGTGGCATGTTTCTGAGGCGTTGGGCTTGGCGCGGTCGGAAATAGACTTGTTGTCTATTTTCAGTATGGACAGGAAGTGCAGCCACAGCAGGATATTGTTCAGAAAGCGGAAATTCGAAAATCCGCCAACACGCCTCCGCTGCGCCGATTGTGTGCATGTCTTGGTATGTTTGAATTTCGTCATTTGCGTTGGTCATTTCTCCGACCATTGCTCTGTCAGGGCCCTTCATGATATATTCAAACATATACCGGTATGCGGCAGTCGAAACGCAAATTTCAACATTTAGATGACAACGATAGCGAAGGAGCAGGTAAGGATTGTATGGAACGACCCATGAATTATCAACTTGATCGTTTTGTCGAACACCGATTGCGCCACCGTTAGCAGGTGCTCGGCGGCGGTAGATTGGGTATCCGGTTTCTTCGTTCCACGTTGTGGCATTTGCAAAGTCTTTAGGGAAGTGGTGAGAGCAACGGTCATTGTGCATGCAAGGAGCTTGTGGATTGTGCATTCGCACGGGTTGTGTATCATGTGTGTGAGAACGAGTTCACGAAGTGTGGAGTTAGAGGGAATCTCTGCAGAAACGATAGAGTCAATTTGTTCAGGTGTTGAAATTTTGTAATCGTTTGTGAAGGTCACAACGAGATGTGCATGCGGCAACCCACATTTTTGGAATTCTATGACATATACATAGGCTGCCGTGGATCCGAAAATATGGGTTGAATGAATATCGTGGATGAGGCGAACTAAATAACCTTTGAAAACCCGTGCAAGAAGATCCGGTCTATCTGATGGCTGTTGATTTGGGAACAGAGAGTTTTCTATTTCTGGCCATCGCGAATTACATGTGATTGTTATAAAAAGATCAGGAGGTCCAAACTCTGCACCGCTGCCATAGAGTCTTGATAGCGTCGGTGCATGTCTCGAGGGCCGCCTATGAACGTTCCTGGTAGAATGACTCGTTGACCTATATCATCAGCATTGTCATATTGGATAAGTTGGTCATGCAGGTTTTGATACAGTTCAGCGCGGATTTCTGTTTGGTGCAATTTGTTGTATAGAAGGCGTCCGTTTTCTATTTTTGCGAAGGCCATGCAAACATATTCTTGAAAAAGACGAGCGTCGCGAAATATTGTGGTTCGTTCATTGTGGCGTGTGTTGAGGTGGAACGCGTAGATTTTTCGGGCCGTGATTTGTTGAGGGTCGGCGTTGTTGTTATCATCAGTTTCAAGTGCCCAACCATTCTCACCAGCGGGGAATAGAAGAAAGTAGTGGAGAGGATCAAATGCGCGATTTGTTTCTGGTATAGGAAGAACACCGCCACCACGATTGTGTATTATTACTTCTCGTGTGGATGGTTGATTGTCGTGCATCAATAGACAGATGTCTTGGAGGCCCTGTGGCTTATTGTATCTCCATTCGTGTTCGCCGACTGGTCGTGCATCCGGGTTGATGACGAGATGTCGTTCATGTATCATGTCATCTGGGAGCTCGGAAATCGTTATAAAATCACGGACCCATCGATTGGACTGGATCAAAAGGCGGTGAAGTTTACGAAGGAGTCGTTTAATTTGCTGTACCGTTGCAAGAGGGAGCTCAGTTGGGAGATTCAGTCTTGTCAGACGTATAATGGACGCATCACGTTCGTCCTGTGGATCATATATATAAAGTTGTGCAAATTGAGGTTCGCGATCCGCATCGGGAAGGAGTGGTCCAAGGTTGTGATGAAGCTGGTCAACGATTCTCAACATGCCGGCCCAATGACCCGGAGGTGGGTGAGGTTCCCGGACAATTTGCGAAGTGAGTGCTAGCGCATTATTAAATTGTCGTGAGCGCGAACGGAGCAGTCTCCCTGCGGCCGTGTCTGTTTCCCATAGAGCGAGAATTTCTTGAACAGTTGTGCCAGGTTCATCATATTGCCAAAGCGGGGGATGAATTTTCCCTTTGCGACAGCACAGTGTGGTCCACGTCTGTTCATGATCCCATTTTTCGACATGACAATATGCGCATTGTACTTTATCGCCGAGCACAATTGTATCGATTGGCACATGCCGCGAGAAAAGCAGTCCAGTATGTTATCGAGCAGCATTTGGATGAGATGAAATATGATCCGTGTGGACTTGTCGGAAGCGACAGGCTCGGTCTGGACGGGTTCTGTCTGGTGCACGACATCGAGCATGTGATGATACCGCTGCACGAGCAGAACGCAACAGAAAGGAAGCAAAACATAAGTTTAGAGTGTAAAGGATTGGTTTGTGTAGTTTTTTTCTCAGGGCATGGTGCGAGATCGTGCTTTCTGAGCTGTTTGTTCTTTGGTGTTTTTGCATGCGCAAAATTACAGACAGGGAACGAATATCCTGCTAGAATGTAGCGCAAGGCAAATTGGCAGGAGTCGGTTTTGACACATCAAATCCCGTCGTCCGGATTCGAGCTGAGGTCTGATTCATATTTCAATAGTTCACATGTGCGGTCGGCGGCGACGCAGGGAAATGCAGTGGACTGTTGCTCTGTCTGTGTGTGTGTGTATGTGTGTGTGTGCGTGTGTGTTTGTGTGTGTGTATGTGCGAGTGAGGTATGGAGAGGGAGCAATATGCGTGTGCTGTTTCCCGTTAGTGGTAATCTGAGTCCTCCCTGATCTCTGTCTCTCTCTGTCTCTCGGTTTCCCCGTTTTTTTTTGTTTTTTTTTTCCTTGGCCTCTGTTGTTCCTTTTTTCTTTTTCTTTGCCTCTGCTGTTTCCTGTTAGCAGCAATACGAGCCTTCCCCAATTTCTTTCTTTTTCTTTGTCTCTTTTTCTCTCTTCTTTCTCTCTCTATCTATCTTCCCCTCTCTCTCTCTCCGTCTTTGTCTCACCGTCTTGTCTTTTTTTTTTTTTTTTTTTTTTTTTTTCCTTTGTTTTTTGTCGTCGGCGGCAAATCGAATTGACACCTTTCTAAGTGATCTGGCCAAGCAAGAGTAAGTGTGGTATCTGTTATGTGACGAGTTTATTATCAGATCCGCAATGCATAGACCCACACACAAAAAAAAAAACCTCGACTGGCCTGCGACCGGTTCGGGTAGTCCTTTTTTCAGATTATGGTGTGAGTGCGTGCTTTCTGAGCTGCTTGTTCTTTGGTGTTTCTGCATGCGCAAAATTACAGACAGGGAAGCACAACAGAAATTCAGAGGTGAAAGGGTCGGTTGCTGCAGTTTTTTTCTCAGTTTATGGTGAGAGTGTATGCTAGATAT